AAATTTTCATCATCCTATCTCTTAGTCATTTCGAAATGACTAATATCACATTTTTCATGGGATTATTTTATCCCATGTACAGGGAATTAATTCGGTTGGTTAGGATGTGTTATCCCACGTATAAAATGCAACCAAACATAAGATGACACAGAATGATTAATTCAATCTTGTGTCTTCCTATAAACCAAACGGACCCAAAGAATATGTGTCACTAAAACCATATTAGGAAAAATTTCAGTGGAAAAAATGGTCTAGTAAAGGAAAAAGAGTACAATATTTTTGTGTTTTAATTTCTCCCCCTAATCCAAACATCAGTTGAGATTTTTTAACCGATGCATTCTAATATTCTTCACTAATTTCTCAAATGTCATAGTTGGCAATACCTTGGTAAATAATTTTGCCAGATTATTGCTATATTGAATTTGTTGCACATCAATTTGAGTAAAGAAGAATTTTGGTGAAATATGTTTCGTCCTGTCTCCTTTAATTTATTCTCATTTCAATTGAGTTATACGAGCCGCATTATCTTCATATAATGTAATCGGAGGATTTTCTCGTTTAGAGGATAACCCGCTATTTTTTTTCGAAATAATGGGTCATTGATATTAATCAAATATATTTTTGATTAATCTTATGAATTGCTATTATTTCAGCACGATTTCGAAATAATGGCAGCCATTGGTTGCTTTATAATCGACATGAAATAGCCACACCACTACATGTAAATAGATATCCAGTTTGAGATCTTACTTTATGTGGGTTAGATAAATACCCAACATTAGTATAACCAAGCAATTCATGCCGAAATTTATTCAAATAAAAAGGGCTAAGATCAATTGTTCTTTAGAGATACCGAAAAGAATGTTTAATACTATTCAAATATTGTCTTGTAGGAAAGGAGATAAATCTTGCTAATAGATTTACAACAAATGATATATCCGATTTTGTACAATTAGTAGGATACATTAGTGCACCAATTGCACTAAAATATGGTACTTTAGGGTCAATAATATTTTCACCTTCCTCTTTTGATCAAAAAGGATCCTTAATCGGATCAAAAGGGATCCTTAATCGGATCAAAATACGAAACGACCATCAGGGCACTCAATGAATGTGTTTTATCTATATAAAATCACTTTAATACCTTCTAAATATAATTAGTTTGGTGGACAAAATTTTATCTTTCAATTGCTCATTTTGTAAACCAAGGCAAAATTTAGTCTTTCCAAAATTCTTGACCACAAATTCTTTCTTCAAATATTCAATAGCCTTTCGGAGCTCTTAAGGAGTTTTAATCAAGTTAAAATCATCAACATATGCTGCAATAATTACAAAATTTGATATACTTTTCTTTATAAAAACACATTGGGCATATTGGGTCATAGGTATAATTTTCTTTAATTAAGCATTCACTGAAACGGTTATACCACATACATCCAAATTGCTGAAGTGCAATTTAATAGAACAAATACCTTTAGAATTTGATTTAGCCAAAAATTATGCACGAATTTGTTTAGCTAGAGGACAAGAAACATTGTTGGCACTAATTATTGCTTTTAACCACTAAATTATTTATTGTTTTAAACTGCCTTCTCAATGATGAAAAATGATATGCTAATGACAATTTCTTCTGATTTGCAGTTATATCTTTGCATTTCAGTTAGTTTTAAAGGTTATTTATGTCAATTCAAGAAAACTTTAATATATGAGTTATATATGTTTGTTCTTTTTCTTTTTCCTTCTTCTGTTTTTATCCAACTGTTTGCTCTCCTTAAGTAATTTATATAATCAAAGCTCTTCAAATCTATTAGATCTAGTGATTATTTAGATATATTATATTTGTGACATGTTCGATATATTTTATACCATTAAGTGATATTACACCTTTTTATAGGAAAAAATTACTTGTGAATTAATACGAATAATCCTGAAACTAAAAAAAAAAATCTAACAATGATGGGTTAGCCATTAAGTTAAGTGGCATGTTTTAAACCAAAATATATACAAATTTATATAGTTCAATCGCTATTTATGTTTACTCATCTGGTTAGACGAATTTGCCCTTGAGTTATGGCATGTGCGATGGATGTATATGTTAAGCTCTGAAGCAATAATCATACAATTTGAGTTGAATCTGATGGGGGAAAGGGATATCCAGGAAGAAGTAAGAAAGAAGAAAAGAGAGAGAAAAGAGAGAGAGAAAAGATCAGAGAGGGAAGCAACTAATTCAGTTATTTTCTTGTTTCATTGGACACAAGTGGGACCCACTTTAATACATTCAGCCGACTAAGCAAATTAGCCGCCCTACCCAATCCAATTCCTATTAATTGGAACGACATCGTTTCATGCCCTCCATTTCTGACCCGATTACCCAATTTCTAACCCAATTACCCGTTCCTAACAATTCCTCCCCCACAAGAACAGACTTGTCCTCAAGTCTGAAACTCAGGGAACTGGTGTTCAATGAATGACTTATCTTCCCACGAAGCTTCATCATAGCCCAAGTGATTCCACTTGATCAAAAATTGGATGACAGTCCTTCCTTCACGCATGATAGCCCTTCGCTTAAGTATAGTCTCTGGTTTCAATGGACATTGATCACAGTCGTCCAATTCTGGTAACTTAGAGGAGCTAGATTGCAGCGGTCCCAGCTTCTTTTTAAGAAGAGAAACATGGAACACAGGGTGAATTTTCGCATCAGCTGGTAGTTTAAGCTTGTAGGCTACTGCTCCAACCTTCTCCTCCACCTGGAATGGTCCGTAATACTTGGCAGCCAATTTAAGACATTTCCTTACTGCTACAGTTTGCTGCCTATAGGGTTGTAGCTTCAAGAACACCCAATCTCCTGCCAGGAAACTCCTCTCAGTCCTGTGCTGGTCTGCATAGTGCTTCATACGCTGTTGAGCTTTCGCAAGATGTTCCTTGATGCAGCTTGAAATTCTGCTTCTCTCTTGGACCATATCAGTCACTGTAGGTACCACTGAGTCCAGATATGGACCTAGTGGCAATGGTGTAGGTCTGTATCCAAACAAGGCTTCAAAAGGGGTCATATTCAAGCTAGAATGGAAAGTGGAATTGTACCACCATTCTGCTAGAGGTAGCCACTTACTCCATTGGGAAGGTAGCTCACCAGTCATGCATCTTAGGTAACTTTCTACACACTGATTTAACCTTTCACTCTGGCCGTCAGTCTGAGGGTGATAAGCTGATGAATAATGAAGATTCACTCCAACCAGTTTGAAAAGCTCCTTCCAGAACACACTGGTGAACACTTTGTCTCTATCTGTGATGATAGACTCTGGTAGTCCATGTATCTTGTAAATATGGTCTAGGAACATCTGAGCGACAGTCTTAGCTGTGAAAGGATGAGTAAGTCTAATGAAGTGTCCAAACTTGGTGAATCTGTCTATCACTACCAGGACAGTGTCATACCCTTGTGACTTAGGCAATCTCTCAATAAAGTCCATAGTAATGTGGAGCCATGCTTGTTGAGGAATAGGAATTGGTTGTAGCAATCCGGGATAAGGAACATGCTCAGCTTTGTTCTTCTGGCAAGTATCACAGTTCTGCACATATGCAATCACTGCCTGCTTCATTCCAGGCCAATAAAACAAGGATTTGAGCTTCTGCCAGCAGTTTCTCTGGCCTGAGTGTCCCCCCAAAGCAGAGTCATGCAAGGTCTGAATCAGTTGTCTCCTAATGTTGTTGGCTCCCCCTACATAAATCTTCCCCTGATACTTCAGAATTCCATCCAGCAGGCTATACTCAGTGTGTGCATTGGGATCTAAAACTAGTTGGCTCATGATATCTTGGCATTGCAAATCCCCTTCATAACTCCTCTGCAACTCCATCATCCAACCAGGTTTAACAGATGTGATGGCTAAACAGGACCCCAGCTCTTTTGTTTGTGCAGGTTCATGCCTCCTGGATAAGGCATCTGCTACCAAATTTTCAGCTCCCTTCTTATATTCTATTTTATAGTCCAACCCCAAGAGTTTAGTCATCCACTTGTGTTGGAGAGCAGTGTTAAGTTTCTGATCCAAGAGATACTTCAGTGACTGATGATCAGTCTTTATAATGAAATGGTTTCCCACTAGATAATGCCTCCATTTTGTGACAGCCATCACCAGAGCTAAAAGCTCTTTTTCATAAACTGAGAGTCCCAAGTTTTTGATTGAAAGAGCCTTACTCAGGAAGGCAATGGGATGTCCTTCCTGCATTAAGACAGCTCCAATTCCTCCCCCACTCGCATCTGTCTCCACCACAAAAGGTTTTGAAAAATCTGGTAACTGCAGAACTGGAGCTGAGCACATCAATTTTTTTAAGTGTTCGAATGCAACCTGAGCTTGACTGTTCCATTTGAAGTTATCCTTTCTTAGTAACTCAGTGAGTGGTTTACACACCAGACCATAGTGTTGAATAAACCTCCTATAGTACCCTGTAAGGCCTAGAAAACCCCTCAACTCCTTAACTGACTGAGGCACAGGCCACTTCAGAATACTGCTAACTTTTGAACAGTCCATGCTAACACCCTGATCTGTGATAGTATGCCCTAAGTAGTCAACCTTCTTCTGAGCAAAAGCACACTTAGACCTCTTCACATAAAGTTGATGTTCACTTAGAATCTCGAATACAGCCCTCAAGTGTTGAACATGAGCATCCATGGTAGGGCTATACACCAGAATATCATCAAAAAAAACCAACACAAACCTTCTCAGATAGGGTTGAAATATCTGATTCATTAATGATTGAAAAGTAGCTGGTGCATTAGTAAGCCCAAAGGGCATGACCAAGAATTCAAAGTGCCCACAATGAGTCTGGAAAGCTGTCTTGAAGGTGTCATGAGGCTTAACCCTGATCTGATGGTACCCTGAGGTGAGATCCAATTTTGTTTTGTAAACAGACCCAACTAACTCATCCAGTAGTTCATCCACGTTGGGAATTGGAAACCTGTCCTTGATGGTCATTTCATTCAATTTTCTATAATCCACACAAAAACGTCAAGTCCCTTCTTTCTTCTTAACCAGCAGCACAGGGGAAGCAAAAGGGCTGTTGCTGTACTTAACTATCCCTTTTTGAAGCATTTCTTCCACCTGTTTCTCCATTTCCTCCTTGTGACAGTGGGGGTACCTGTAGGGCTTTAATTTGAAAGGTTGTGCCTCCTTCTTGAGAAGGATCTCGTGGTCCACACTTCTAGGAGGGGGCAAGGATTTTGGAGTCTGGAACACATCATCATAATCCTGAAGCACTTCCATAATTTCCTGGGGAATAACAGCTACCTCTTCTCCTATCTCCTTCCTACAGTTCAAAGCCAAGCACATCTGTCTTTTATACTCTATGAAGGTTCTCATATCCCTTCCCCTAATTAAATCCATATCACTATCCTCTGCTTGTCCATGTAAGTGAATTTCATTTCCTTCACTATGTAAGGATATCCTGAGCTGTTGGAAGTCAAACGTGATAGGACTAAAGTGTGTCATCCAATCTACCCCCAAAATTATGTCCCATCCTTCTAACTCCATCACCTTCAAATCAAATCTGAAGCTATGTTGGTTAATATTCCAGTGCACATTAGGACAGATAGCATTGCTAGTCACAGTAGTTCCATTTCCCATTATGACAGAAAATGGCTGCTTAACCATTCTGTAGGCAATATCCATTCCAATTACCATTTCACTGTTGATATAACTGTCTGAACTACCCGTGTCTACCAAAATAAAAACTTTCTCCCCATCCAGGTTGCCTGTCAATGTAATTGTTTTCCTTCTCAGGGATTCAGACAATGCATGTAGGGACAGCTCCATAGTTTGTCCTGGATTCCCTGTCTGTTCATCCTGCTCCCCCACAGCATCTTCAAAGACTGCCTCCTCTTCATCCTCCAATATCATACAGTTAACATACCCTTGCTTACACTGATGGCCTACGCCATATTTTTCCCCACACTTGAAGCACAGTCCCCTACTTCTCCTAAACTGCAACTCCTGAGGTGAGATCCTCTTCACTTCTTTAGCATCCTCCTGTACCTTATTACTGTACCTAGGGCCCTTAAGAGCATTACTGACAGGGACCTTGTAAGTGTTGCTGTCTACCACTGACGTATTACCCCTTGAAAATCCAAACCTACCCTCTCCCGTCTGTTTAGAGTTCTTATTCTGCACCTTGAGTGAGTACTCCTGCCACTGAGACAGCTCAAAAGCTTCAGTCAAAGTAGCAGGCTTCAGCATCCGTAGCATAGGTTTGATCTCCTCCTTCAAGCCACTAATGAAGCTAGAAATGAAGTAGTTCTCATCTAAGTTCCTGTTCTTGATTAACATTAGAGGTTTCAATTCTTCGAACTGCTCCTGATATTCCCTCACACTACCTCCTTGTTGCAGCTTATTAAATTCCTCTACTATATCCTTGCAAATACTGTCTGTGAATCGTTTGCATAACAGATCTCCAAATTCTGTCCAACTCAATCCAGGCCTCTCCAGTTTAATACCTTGGAACCACTTATCCGCCCTTCCATCTAAGTACATTTCTATGATTTCAACCTTCTGATTTTCCAGAATTTGATAATTCATAAAGTATTTATCACACTTGCGCAACCATTCCCTAGGATTTTCTCCACTAAACAGATGCAAATCTATCTTAGGAGGATTAGGAAGTTGGTACTTACTCCAATCTCTTTTGCAGGAATTCTGCTGATCTCCTTCTGGTTGCAATCTCTGATGAGGCGGCGGTGTAGGAAGAATTGGTCCCTGATCCATCATGATTCTTTCTCCCCTGTCCGCGACCTTGTCCTGCGCAGTAGTCATCCTGGATAGCAGTGCATTGAATTTCTGATCCAGAGACTTGCTGAAATTCTGTTCCATTCCTGACAACAAATTCTCCATCCGTTTGTTGTTTTCTTCCAATTCCATTGTTAAGTTGTTCTTAAGCTGTAGCTGTTCTGATTGATGTGAAAGTACAGATTCCATCAGTTCTTGGAGCTTGATTTCCTGCCTCTTGACTTGTTCCTCCAATGTCCTGAATCTCGTACCTTCTGCCATGGATTTGATCTTGCTCCAAGGATCTAAGGCTCTGATTACCAATTGTTAAGCTCTGAAGCAATAATCATACAATTTGAGTTGAATCTGATGGGGGAAAGGGATATCCAGGAAGAAGTAAGAAAGAAGAAAAGAGAGAGAAAAGAGAGAGAGAAAAGATCAGAGAGGGAAGCAACTAATTCAGTTATTTTCTTGTTTCATTGGACACAAGTGGGACCCACTTTAATACATTCAGCCGACTAAGCAAATTAGCCGCCCTACCCAATCCAATTCCTATTAATTGGAACGACATCGTTTCATGCCCTCCATTTCTGACCCGATTACCCAATTTCTAACCCAATTACCCGTTCCTAACAGTATAATTCTTTCAATAGAATTACAATGCAATTTAAGAGAATGACCAGTAGCATGCCAATTTTATAAGTTCAGTGCTAAGTTTTAAAACAAAATATAGTTTAGCGATCATAATTCATACAACTCAAAATTGAATGGCTGCTGGGGTTTTTTGCCCTAAAAAATAACTAAAAGTATAACAAATTGCTCCCAAGACGTAATACAAGTATGGGTTAAAAACAAAAAAGCCCTCTGTGGTATATCTAATACACAGAAAAGTTTCTCGTGATTTCAAAATATATAAAACGACACCTCATATTTTGAATTAAATTGTAAACTAACAAAATTCGTTAAACTTAATGTAATCCGGTAAATTTAACGGAAAACTTAACGGAATCCGGTAAACTTAACGGTAAATTTTACGGAATCCGGTAAGTTTAACAGTCGAGACCGTTATTTTCGTTAAGTTTAACGAATTCTGTTAGTTTACAATTTAGTTCAAAATATGAGATGTCGTTTTGTATGTTTTGAAATCACATGGGACTTTTCTATGTATTAGGTATACCACATGGGGCTTTTTTGTTTTTAACCCTACAAGTATTAGCGATTTTACTAACCAAAAGTTCTAGCATGGATTGGTCTAGAGCTTCCTCAACCCCAAAAAAAAAAAAAAAAAATAAAACAAAAAAGGTCAAAAAGTATAACAAATTGAAAATTTGGGCTCATAAATGTGGATAGATTTACACCAATAACTATGTAGACAAAATAAAATATGCAATTCAAAACTCACATATAGGATGATGCGTGATAAGGACTTTTGCGTGAACATCCAGTAGGGGTTCCTATAACATCTTGGCATACAAGTAATTAAAGAGTGAAGCCCTTCGTGCCTTTTTTTTTGCCCCCTTTTCTGAGTGTACAGAAATTAAATATCCATAGTAATTCGAGATGTACATGAAGAAATTAAGGGTGGGAATGGAAGTAACAATAATTGAATATAGGATGATTGCATGTAGTAAGATTGAAAAATATGTATTAGGCAACAACAACTTAAGAAGTGAAGATTATCGAAGTATATTGATTAAATACCTCATTCATCCTTATGTAGAATTAAATGCAGTTGATATATACCAAATCTTAGAGAAGCATTTATGGATGCCAAACATCTAATTCATTATTTAGCAAACCCTACCAAGTTTGGGAAGGAAAAAGTGCTTATGCAAACAAACAAGAAAAAAAATATGGAATTGAGACTGTTCTTTTTCTAATTTACAGTGACTCTATTCAGTTTTTTACTTACAATACCTCCAGGCTATAAGTAAGGCCGAGTTAGCCTGAGCTTAGCAAGAAAAATTAGGTCTACCTGGGACAGTCAATCGGGCTGAGCCAGATCGAGCTCGACCTACTCGATTCGAACAAATTTCACTGAGTCTAAGATTTAATTGAGCCGAGCTGAGTTTGGACTTAAATATTAGGCTCGAACTAAATGTGAGTTGAGCTTAAATCATACTAGCCTCAAGTTTGATTAAAACACCGCCAATATATGGGTATAATTATATATGCAAAATATATATAATAATATCTATAATTTATAATTATACATATTACGACATAAAATGTCAATAATTATATATAAATTTGTATTACATAGTTATAAAATATATATTATATATCATTATGTATTTAAATTATAAGTTTGGACCAAGCTAGATTTGAACTTGAAACACACATAATAGCGTGAGTTGAGATTGAACCTTTTAATGTGATTCCGAAATCCAAAAGCTCGAACCCCAAAAATTCATATAATTTGTGAGCGGAGTTTGTAATTGCTAAAGTCAGTTCAAAAAAACCTAATTGACACCCCTAGATCTACCCTCTCGTGTATTATTAGATTGGATTGAGGTTGGGTCTCAAAATTAGGCCCAATTTAATTGTGAGCCGCGTTTGAATTTTATGAGACTAAACCTGAATATGTGTCATCTAATAATTATATGTATTATAGGATGCATAATTTATAATTTATATATATTGGTAAAAGAATTTATATCATGTTATATACAAGAACGAATTTACTGTGAGGTTCTCAAAATTTTTATATTTTTGTGAATCAAATATATATGAGTTTTATAAATATTATTACCCCTAGCCTTACATGTATTGTCCAAATCTCAAAAGCTATATTTAGTTTGTGAGCTAAATTTAAAATTGTCAAAATCTGGACTTGCCAACAGCCTAAATTTGTTTTGCTGGCCAAATTTGGAATTTACCAAAACCCGACTCAGCTACAAGACTCAATAGCCCTACACACTTCCGCCTCATACGACTACGACAAGCAGAAGAGGGATTGCATTTTCCGTCATTTTTCATGGAAAAATTACTGTAGCGATTTGATGTATGTGAGGAAAAAAGGTAATGGGGAAATGTGTTCACGGAAAATGACGAAATTTTTCTACGGAAAATAGCAATCCAAGCAAAGCCTAAAGCCTTGCTTGGATTGAAGGTTTTCGTCGGAAAATATTATCGTTTTCCGTGATCACATTTCCCTATCACCTTTTTCCCTCACATATATCAAATCGCTACAGTAATTTTTCCATGAAAAATGACGGAAAATGCAATCCAAACACAACCTAAGTCTTCCGTGTGTTTTTTAATTTCCTTACCCATCTATCCGTATATTATCCCTCTCCTATTCTATATATCTTATCCCTCTCCAATCCTAATTCTCGGAAAAGAAGAAGAAAAAGCAAGAAGGCGAAAGATGTCACGCTGCTGCTCGCAGTGTGGTAGCAACGGCCACAACTCTCGCACCTGTGGAGGAGGGTCGTCGTCGGCGTCGGCCGCGGACGGTGGTGGTGGTTCCGATTCCGGTTCCGGGCCTATCAGTGAGTTCATGCTGTTCGGGGTGAGAGTTAAAGTGGATCCCATGAGGAAAAGTGTGAGTATGAATAATCTGTCCGACTACGAGCACCACCCCTCTAACGCTTCTACTATTCAAAAAAATTCTGTTCACGTTGATGCGTCTGCGCCCAAGGCTGCCGATGACGTCGCCGCCGGTTATGCCTCCGCTGACGACGCCCTCCCCACCCATCACTCTTCCACCGCCGCTAGGGAGCGTAAGCGAGGTTTGTTCGAGATCACTCCATCTCTTTTGTTAGTTATCTATTTATTTATTTATTTTTATGTTATGTTAAGAAAAAAAAATCTGTTTTCTAGTCTATCTGTTTATGTATTGGAGTAATTTTCTTTCGGCATCATGGATGAGATAAGAAAGGGGAAAAATAAAAAAAGAACTTTCTTTTGGCATCTCAGAGCTTTTGTTACAAATATGATCCTTGGTGTTGGCGTTTGATTGTTTGAGAATTTATCGGTAGGAAGAATTCAATGTAAAGATGGTGTAAATTCTGTCGATCCAATGAGATAAATTGTTTTTTTTTTGGGGGGGGGGGGGGTGGAGGGTATTACAAGTTTTGATTTTTATATTAAAATTTACTTGATTTGATTTGATATGATCAGGGGTTCCTTGGACTGAAGAGGAGCACAAGTTGTTTCTGTTAGGATTGCAGAAGGTGGGAAAAGGGGATTGGAGGGGTATTTCCAGGAATTTCGTCAAGACTCGCACCCCTACCCAAGTTGCCAGCCACGCCCAGAAGTACTTCCTCCGCAAAAGCAACCTCAATCGCCGTCGCCGCCGATCCAGCCTCTTTGACCTCACCCCTGACTCGGTAATTTTTTTTTGATTAATTATTATCACCTGATTCACCATATATAGGGGTAATGTATCCTGATTGCTTGACTTGTCCACAGAAAAAGTGACCAAGTTCGTCTTTTTTGGCTTGCTCTTGCAGCTGTAAATCGTTGTACCTTTTTTTCTTTTCTTTTTGCCCACCAATTATTTGTATGGATGTTGCCTATGAGTTGCTTTTAGTCCTGAAAGAAAGGGTTGCTAGGAATTTGGATTTGCAGATTGAGGACGGTCAAACAATTAACATTCTTTTGGGATGTGATTGAATATAATGAACAGTAGTCACCAATAACAACTCAGATATATATTGGTATTCATGTGGAGATATTGGCTGAAACAAGAGCATTCCTTCAATGTGATTATGATGGGATTCGTTTAAAGTTCTTTTTTCTTAATCATCCTGCTTTTACCGCACAGATGTTATCATCAGAGTCATTTATGCATCTTTTGTGATGATTATTTTATTCAGGTCACTGGTGTGCCAATGGAAGAGGGAGACGGTCATCTAGATGAAACAGCGAATCCAGCCCTCCCTGCAACATCAATGCCTCCCAACGAAAACTCCAGCGTCAATGGATTTGCAGGAGCACCATTCCCAGTCACAGTTGGTCCCATTTTGGTACCAGTGCAGGTTCGGAATCCTTTGTCAAGCATGACCGTCTGCCAGGCTGATGCTTTCGGTAATGGATCAGCTCTCGTCGTGCGGCCCGTCCCAGTTCCGGTGCCTAATTATGCCACATCAACCGTCTTTAACTTGAACCAGCGAGTGGCAGCTGAATCAGTATCTCTGAGGCTGTCGCTGTCATCATCTGATCATCAGAGGCAGTCGTCTACAAGGCACCCAGCCTTCCAGAGGATGCCAAGCTTCAAGAATGGAGATAGCATTATTACTGTTGCTTGAGGGACTGGGGCTAAAGTAAGTTCTTGAAAGGAGAACTTCGGAAGAGATTAATTTAAAAAAAAAAGAAAAGAAAAAGAAAATTGAGTTTTTTTTTTAATTATTTTTTGGGGTTTTTTTTTTTTTTTTGGGGAAGGGGATTGTTGTTTTTAGGACGTAGATTAGGTAAATTACATGATGAGGTAGAGTTGGACCTTTTTGTTTTGTACAGACCATAAATGTGGCATCCCTTGATTAAGACTTGAGGTCTTTATGCTAGCTAATACTGCTACTGTTTTAGATTCTGGATTATTTGCCTGCTGCTTTTGTTTGTTGTTGCTTGCTGGGGATGGTGCTGCTTTCAAGTAAGCTGAGCGAGTGGTTTTGGCTTTCTTCATGGAGAAGAAGAGAAAACATCACAAAGTTTTCTTGGGTGTTGTTGCATAAATCAATCTTCTCTTCTTTCCGGATGCGATTGGGATAAGAGGAGAGATTTCCGGGTGAATGATATCTTGAATGAATCAAATCATGAATGAAAGTGGATGATTGATGGGGCGGTGGATGAGTCATCATCGTTAACTTTGTACTGACAACAACAGTGGTTGGTAGGGCCGGTCGGTGGTGCTATCGGATAATCTATTCTGCGTTATCCCATCCGGGACGGGACTACCATTTGCAGAAAGGGTCCACTATATCTGGCTTATAATTTATAGTATATCTTTAAGAAAAGTAGAAAACTTGACAACTTAGAGCAAGTTAAAGTTGATTTATGGAGTTGGTCCCAATGTGCCAAAGCAAAGCATTTGGAGGAGCAGCAGACTTGCTTTGATTTTTGTATCAATCATCGATCATCTTCAAGCATGAAATGCAAGAAGCAAAGTTTCAGAAGGACGAAAATGATTGTACTTTTGAGGCTTGGGTACCTGCATCATCTGCATGCCTCTCTTTTTCTGTAATACCGTTTAAAAGAATTTTCTCATGCCAATAATGGACTTTTAAACTTTCAAAAAAAAAAATCTTTATAAAAAAAAATATATGTTACACTGATTATTCCAAATAATAGTTCAAATAACACTATCCAAACACTACTAGTACTATTATTACTAAGAGTTACCCCAAAAAACATGTACTTTTCCGCCTGATGTACCTTTTTTTGTTGTTGTCCTTTTGGTTCTTTCCTTAAAAAAAAAAGTAGGTTTTGTGCACAAGAATTTTCATGGCACCAATATTGCAGGGTCCAACAAGATACAGCTAACAAGATAGATAGACAGACCAGTCATCTTTATGTCGCATTGCATCGAAAGAGAAATAAGGTGAGACAGTTTCCAAGGCTTTCTTCGAATTCTTTAGTAAGCTTTGGTTCATTGAGAAGACAGCCACGGGTTGGGTGCTACATAAGTGTACCCTTGAAAGAGCTCGCCTGATGTAGGGGTGGCAGCTGGTGAATCATCTGGAGGCATTGTCGTCCAACATCTATCAAAATTTGCAGTGCAATCCTTGCCACTCACATCTGGCTTGAACTTAGGCTGAAGTTCTCTGCCTTCCAATTTCTTCCAGTTGATTGACCGAAACCATTTATGAGACTTGATTTCATCTCCTCCCCTGAGCCCGCTGCCCAATCTTTTGGATGGGTCTTTCTGTAGCAACTGATGAGATACAATTGTTTTAAATTACTCTCTGTTATGTAACAAAATGGATAGGGTGAAACAGGAACAGAAAATAGTGAACCATACTCCTTTGAGCAAAGAATGAGCTTCGCTACTCAAGCGAGGTGGAAGCTTCAACTTTTCATTGATGATTCTCTCCTGAAGCTTCTTTCTGCTCGAATGGACATATGGTGGCTGGAAAACATGTATCAGCATAAGTGCAGTTTTTTTTGCTTTGAAATTTCAACTGAAAATAGTTAAAATTTGGTCATCTAAAACATCCTATTGGTGCATGCAGGCAGCCCAGATAAAAACTTAAAGAGAGGACCAGACCTATGAAAGCAATTAGCACTGTGAGCATAAGACCAGGCTATTATAACAGATTGTATAAATGATTATATTGGTTTTTCATATTCCTATATGCAAAAGGAACAGGCTTTCACAGGTAAGGGTCAGTAGATGGAACCTAAAAAGTTAATTCAAAACTAACCAACACAGAGTGTATCTTGACAAAATGTCTTCACAATGAACAAGTCAAAGCTGAGCAAAAGAAAAGAACCACACAGGAAGAACAAAAGTACTGATTGTTTTGGTTGGCATCTTCTAAAGGATAGTCTCTAATTGGAATTTGACTCCAAGTTTATTCTCCCTCTTTAAGAATACTTCTTTGCATATTACTCGATTTTCCAAGATAAGGATTTCTCATGGCCCTTTAATTTTATAGTACTTAGCCTCATTTTATCAAGTCATTAGCATGGGCTAAGGAACGGTTTCAGAACAAGATGTTTTAGTAGTTTCTTCTCGCAAATATTTCCCATTTCATGTTTGACAAATACTTAGGCAAAGTATAGCAAACATGTCATATGGCTCGTAAGAGCTTCTCATAGCAAACCTATCAGTGGATGATAATTTGTACAAGGATGAGAAAAGAAAATGACTGGCTTAAAACAAAAGTACCCCTAATAGCACACACAAACTTATTATCATGATTTGAAAAAGGTGAAATTATTTTCATGATTTAAATGAGGTGAATCATACCCTCACAAAGACACTTAAAACCATGCTTAGATTATCACTCCTATGAGCATGACAAGTTTAACTAGATAACCTTCCTTCAAACCTCATAGATATCATAATAAAAGACTCAATACTTTTGAGTGGCAAAAGATGCCCTCCTCACAAATTCCTCTATCACCAAATTGCTTCAGAGAGAGAGTTAGGGGTAGAAAATTTCAGTTTAGTAAGAGTTAAGTTTGATTAAGTTGGGTTAAAAAGCCCAACATTGGAATTAAAAACTGAGACATTAAACTGCCATGCATCAGAGATAAACTAAATATTCCATTTTTACCACTTACCTTTCCAGTGAGCATTTCATACAAAAGTATCCCCACGCTCCACCAATCTGCAGCTTTATTATGGCCTTTGGCCAGTAAGATTTCTGGAGCCATGTATTCTGTTGTCCCACACATGGAATTGGATCGACTTGATTCATCAATCTCCTTGGCAAGTCCAAAATCAGTGAGCATCACCTGGACCAGAAACCAATCAAGATCAGAATCGTCAGAAACCAATCAAAATTAGTATTCTGCTCATGAATGACAAATTCTATGAATGACTGCTTGCAGCTATACTGAGAGCCTCATAGCCATTACATGCCCATCAGCATTCATCAGAATGTTTTCAGGTTTAAGGTCTCGATGAACAATTCCACTCTGGTGAAGGTGTGAAACGGCAGATACTATCTCAGCTGTATAAACCCTTGCCTGGTCCTCACTACCCAAGACATACCCAAGAAGTAGTATTCAGATCAATTGTAGATACCATGGTTTAGACTCATACAATCATGGTAATTGAAAGTGGTACCTGAAGATCCCCTGTCTGTAGAGATGATAGAAAAGATGTCCTCCATTTATAAAATCCAAGATTAGGTAAAGCTTAGATTTTGTCTGTTGTGATATGGAGAGGTGAATATGTTAGATAAGCACAAAAGAATGCAAAGGCTGGAATGTGAAACATCATATTGAAATCATGCCAAGAAAATATGGAAAAAAAAAACTAGAACAACTAGAACAAGATGCTACTTTGAAAGCATATGGTTGAAACCTGCTGAATTAGAAGAAAACAAAAGTTCTTGCAGCAAAAGATCATTTAAAATCTTTAGACGTCAAGGAAAAAATATTCAAATGAAAAGAAAAACTAAGATCAAGGCAAGAGATTTCAGGTATCTCCCATAGTCAAAAGGCCTACTTTTGTTAAACTTGCATAATAAACTACTTTCCGTGAACCTTAAAGAATGGGAGCAAAAGGTTTTCATTGCATAGTTACCACTGTCAGTGCCTTGGAAGATGGTTTGTAACATAGCACATACCATAGATACCTCGTCTTGACAAATTTAAAAAAAAAATAAAATAAAAAAGAAAGAACCATAGTTACCTTAAATCACCAAAATCTAAGATCTGTCAAGCCCTACAGTATTTGAACCAAATAAGCACATATCAGGGAGACATCAATTCTAGGCCAACAATAAAATCTCCCAATTATGATTGACTTGAAATCTTTCATGAACCAATGAAGGTCGGTATCATGAAGAAACTAACACTAAAACCAATTTCTTTGGTCAAGAAAGTTCTCTAACAGCTTTGAGATTTCAGTTTTTCAAAACTAATGCTCCCTTCCACAGGCGAGTCACAATGGGAACTAACTTAAATAACCAATTAAGTCAAAAAATACTCAGAGAAGTTCTGACAGATTTCACCTTAATGCTTAAAGAGCATGCTTTCCCTCTGACATTTTTCTTTCTCCCATGATGAACTCATAAGAAAAGATCCAAAAATTTCCAGTTTGCAAGAATTACAGCTGCCCAGCAAAAGTGAGTTACAGGAGCTTGGAATTATGCAATTGGCTAAATAATGACAGTCGGACAGATACATGATAATTACTAAAATTGGAAACAGTCGGGAAGTGCAGAATAAACTAGATACAAAACAACAAAATTTCTAGCATAAAAGAAAGAAAATCAGGCTTTAATAGAGTAAGATATCCAGAGTAATATAGGAGCACCTGAAAAGAGTATCTAAGCTGAACAATGAAAGGATGCACAACTTTGGTGAGAATATCCCTCTCAGCCCTCATGTAATCCACGTGATTATTCTTGATAATAGTTTCCTTCCTCATGACTTTCATTGCGAAAATCCCATCACCGTTGATAACTACACCCCTGTTCATTCTAACCTGAAAAACCTTCCCAAATGCACCCTTTCCAATGACCCTCAATATTTCGAAGTCCCCCGGCCCAATCTTCTTCATCACTTGTTTTTTCTCCTCCTCCTCCTCCTCCTGAGTAGCAGCAGCAGCAGTAGTATTGTTACTAGTATTGAGATGATCCTCTTGAGGCCCTGGTCCACCGCTGACCTCTTCAATTTTTCCACTTTCATCGTCCTCGTCATCAGAGTCATCGAGCTGAAATTCCTGTTGGAGAAAAGGTAGGGACTTTGAGGAGGTGAATCTTGGAGAAGGGCCCACGAAGGAATGGGAGCGGTTACGAATGACTTGCGGCTCGCCCAGTAAGATAGGGGCAGCGGAGGGGGAGGAGGAGGAAGTGGGAAGCATCACAGGGCCAAAGAGTTCGGAGAAATCGAGGTCCGGATCAGCAGCAGCAGGAGTAGATGATGGGATATTGAGGCGGGTAAGCCTGGTGGCTAGCATGGAGCGAAGGGGCATTTTCTGCTGATCACCAGAGGAGGAGGAGGTAGAAGAAGAAGGCAACATCCTCCTGTTATCTTCTTTCTTGTTTTCCGGCGGCGACTGTAGTATGCGTCTAGGCTTTGGGAATTGGGATAATCAAATCAAAAGAAGCCAGGAGACAATCAAGTCTGAACTGTCGGGGCAGGTTAAACAGAAGCAAGGATCACATTGTGCTACTACTTTCTCCAATATCAGAGAAAGCTCAAAAGAAAGATGAGATTTTGCGGCAGCCACAAATGAACGCTGCTGCTGATGCATATGAATTACTGTTACTATTAAGGGAGTGCAATACAACCAACCATGTTAGTTCCCGACACACAAAAGAAGGAAGAAAGAATAGATCCGGAACTGAATGGAACGGAACACTTGGTAGTCTCCGCTGTCGTCTTCAGACACAGAAATACAGGGTGGATTTAATCCTGTTCCCACCACTTACCCAAAGATTTTACTAGAATGGAAGGCAGAAAAAAAGAGTCTTTTTAAGTTTGAGCACTCTATGAAAAGCTTGGCCCAAAAGTAGAAAAATTGTGTAAGGTTCTAAAGTGTGAAATCAAACATCATCCGGTCACCCTCTTTCGTCTCAAGGGTAAACATCATCCGGTCACCCTTTTGATCATGTTATCATGAGAGTTCAAAACTCATGAAAATGAAAAGGACAACGATACAAGAAATTTTAAAACGAATGTGAATACCTCTGATTTATACAACAAAAAAAAAACTCTTCTTAATCCTTCTTGAACTTCACCATTACATATACTCTTTAAGAAACTTAGGAGAGAGAGAAAAAAAAAAGATTGAACCTGTTTAAGAGTGCCAAATGGGTAGTCACTAAGAGAAAATGACAGGAAGCAAATGAGCGTTTACTCTTGCAAGTTGTTTGGAAATGCCGATTTGGAGAGAAAAGACCCCATTTAGTAACAGACACACAAAGAATGAAATTTACAGCATCGTCAGCATATCACTCATTTAACACTGTTCGTTAGTCGATTAGTAACTTTCCAAGGCAAAACTCAATTCTGCATTGGCACAAAAAAGGTTGTCAGAATAAGAGAAGAGAGCATAATTGAAATCTTTTGATAAATAACGCCACCGTTTAAAATCTAGGATGACTTCCCAGGATATTTGGCAACAAGAATTCTGGTAAACAAAATTCATCTGCAGACTGCAATAGAATACTTTTCACCAACTTATACTTTACATTGTACAACTGAGAAAAATCAATGGAGTCATGATCCAAAACATTCCAGTATTACAACACAAAAACTTCAGCCACGACTGAAATTCTGTACCCACTCAAATCCCCTATCATCCCCTAAAGGATCAAAAAGAAGAGGAAAGAAAAAAAGAAGCAGAGAGAAGAAATCAAAAAACACCAAACAAATTTCACCCTTCAACCCGCATGGACCATATAACTGGCAAAAAGACGATCAATCGCACATGGTCAAAATGGGTGCGTATATAAATCATGTAAACTACTTTTGGCTACCGATAAAGGGCAGAAAAAAAAATTGGCCCTTGTATGTTGCTCTCCACTATGATACAGTAACTATGTGCAATTCAAGCGGCCTTAAAGCTCCTTGAACAATCTCTTGAACTGTCCGGTTGCGCCGGCAAACCTCTGACAGCTCTTCAATTGGAAGCTTAAGATCATTAACATCCTTTCCAAGTTGCGCATTTGACAAAGCTTGTAAAAACTTTGATCTTTCCAATTCCGTAACAGCTGTAGATGGAATTAAAGAAACAGTCTCCTTTGCCCATTCAAGAGTTTTAACTCCATAAGCTCGAGAAAGTGCTAGCAGCGCATACGTCACCTGTGGCAACCAGGGCTCAAGTAAGTTCAAGACCAGAGGAGCATACAGACCAAACATATTAATAGACTAAAGTAAAAGCAGAAAGTTAAAAAGGTTACCGTTTCAACTTGTGAATTTGGAAGAGCTCCAGTTAGGCATGCTACCAAAATTCTGGTAATGCTAGGCCCACGAGGAACTATAACATTATCCCTTATAGGTAAATATATTTCTCCTTGACTAGATTTGCTGATATCAAATATATCAGACAAGAAGTTCAATATAGAATTTGAAGCCTCCCTGCAACAAGAAACAGCTGAGGTTAATATAGAACGCAAAAAACCTACAGCAAGTCCTTCGAAAGGCCAATTAAAAAAAAAAAAAGCTAACAGCAATGATCATGAAATAATGATGGGAGTGTCACACCATTGCTTCAGTTACCAGAGCATGTGCTTTCTGAATTAGCTTTTAGCAGAAAATGCATTTATGCCCTCAAAGATGGAAGATTTTTTTTTAAAAAAAAAAGGACGCAAACCCAGAACAAAAATATAGCAAAGGAAGTCAAATAATCACACTGTCCAATTCAGTCAGGCAGACATAAACAAATGAGTTCTTCACAGAAAACATTAACATGCAATTTGAAAACGTCAACGCTAATCTTACATATGGCCCTAAATCAGCCACTTCCCTTACACACATTCTTGAATTTGAATCTATCACGAAGTAAAGCTGCATCATGGATTAATCTTTACACTTAAACTGCTACTTCCACAATTAGATCAAACTTGAGGCTGAATAAAGAATTCCTATAAGATTTTATTAATTTAATGAACTTCGGCTTCTAACTCAAAACCAATTGACAGTGAGCAAACCGGTGCAAGATCTTTGTTAGTTAATCTGGAAGGATCTTTGTTAGTTAGTTTAGAAGGTCTTGGCCAACTGATGTGGGGTCATTATACTTAACAACCCCTCTCAGATGTGGCTTAGGCTGAACAAACCAAGTGAACTGGACTGACAAGGTGAATACCAACGCGCCGAGAACAAACCAAGTAAATCAGAGCATCGGCAATCGGCATGGCAGAAACCAAAGGAGACAAGCCCAATGCAAAACGAGCCAGAGTAATATCATATTAAAGAATCTTGGCTTTACTCAAAAAACAACTGGCAACAAGTAGAATGGCCTTGTGAAAATAAAATGACCTTGACATGTAAAAAATGAATCCTGAGTGGACACGTATAGCAACCCATATTAAGAACAGTAATAATACATTGCTTAGGACCATTACATATTATTGAACAGAAAAGTATACATGACAATGCACAGTGAATTGAGTGGATCATGATTTAGAGTGAACTTGCGGTTGATCTTGTCAATGGCAAAGTTCAACTTTTGTAAGCAAAATTGCAAAGTGAAAAAAAGATGCTCAAGAAAATGAAGGTGTGAATCGACAAGAAGTAAGAAACTATTTAATATTTTAACTTGTGAATTATTCCTGAGGAAATCTAGGCGTCCTTAAACTTCTTCCTTCTCCTTTACTTCTCCCTCTTCCCTCAATGCCGTTATCTCATAAATTCCTACTCCTGCCCTCTATTATGTTCAGATTCATCAATTTTCTACAAGTGCCAGTTTTAAAGCAATTTCATACACAATCATTACTTGGGGCTATATCAAGTTGCACTTCAATGTACTGTATGAAACAGCCAACATCAGAATCTTGTCGGGTGCTGCATATAATTCTAAGTACAGGAGACCAAGACCTTAGCATTCAGAATGTCAATTAAGCAATTGTAAACGAAGAAGACAAGAAAATTATCCTAAAGAATGAAGACAATTAGCATTTATATTGGGGTGTGTGTGTGTGTGTGTGTGAGAGAGAGAGAGAGAGAGATCACCTATGCTGTATAGTCATGCCAACCATGGAACAATCTACTAATGGTGGAAATATTGGTGATGGGAAAAATAGCTGAGGACAGTAACGTATACACCTCGACGCCAACAAAAAACAGTCATCAGCTATGTCTGGCCGGGAGGTAAATTCCTGAATACGCGTTAGCAGGCATGTTGTTTGGCTAAAGAGAGACTCGATCAATATTTTTAAGTAGTTTGCACAAGTAGGATCAGATCCAAATATCTGCAAAAGTTCAATTTACTTAACTTAAGCAACAAAAGTGAGCAGAAAAAAACCAGGAAATTAAGACGCACCTTAATAACCTCACTGGAGAGATAAAGGAAACATGGTTGGTGGTGTTGTTTGTACAGTCCTTGTATCTCCTCTAGAATTGCTCCAACTGTCACTCCCATAAACCTTTTAGAAGTTCTCACCTGAAGAAACAGATTTTTTGGGGATGACTAGTAAGAAAACTTTGCTATAAGTATCAGCTAAATGACCAAAAATTATTCCCCTTCACTACAAGTGGTTGCCACACAATAGGTAGGTTCCAACATAAAAGAGAACTGATAACAAGATATACCAGTACTGTTAAGACTACAATACTGAAATGTGATGTTCCCAACAAAGTAAAGGTAGCAGTTGCTTCCTCCACCACAAAAATTGGCTTACTTGACAAAGTTGTTTACATCATCAAACATGAGTAACAAGAAGAATTATATCTCTACGAAGAGATGAATTTCTTAATTTCCTGTAGCAGCAAAAAACCAAACTGAGTTGACTTACAGCATTTTTGCAAGCCCGACAAAGAGATTCCATTGTCCGCATGTCCCATGCACGACTGCAGCAAAGAAACTAGAGTTTCAGATTGCAGGGCACAAGATAACTGAGAATGCAATAATATGAAAGTAAATATTGCTAACAACAGTACATTACAGGCCTTACAGATCAAAGATGGCTTTGAAAAGTGGCCAAAGCCTATGAATTGTGTCTGCCACAGCTTCTGGATGATTTACATGTCTAACATTTTACTACCACAGTCAGGAGACCACAATTATCTAACAGAAGATAACGTGAAACAGATAAAAGAACCAGTCTACCTAAAAATATTTGCAAGTCGATCAACATGTACAGTAAGCTCACGAGCAGTTTTTTGCCCCAATACCAAGGGTCCTTGACTAATAATCTCCTGCTAATTGACCAGATATGTTAAGAGTTCTTCCAAAAAAAGATTGCAAATTTTACAGAAGGGAGACCACATATGTTATCACATATATTTCATAAAGGAAACCTGCCTGTAAAGGAGCAACAGCTGGCAAGCACAATGCTTCCAGGGCTTTCTTAGCATGCTCTGAAGGAAGTTCCGTGATTACCTTGCTGCAATAGTAAATTAACAAATAGTGAAACAAATGACTGATTTCACAGTATGAACAAAGATATAATAAATCACCAATACCTTAAAGCTTCAACAAGATGTAATGAATCTTCAGCTGAAACCTTGAAAGTACTTTCTCCAATCACTGCCCTTTGGTATATTTGAAACAAACCATCTAAGGACCCACACAGTTTTTTGCAACAATCTGCACAGGAAATATTCATTACTGCCAAAACTTGAAACACTCAAATAATCATGAAATCAAATTTGACCACTGTAATGTACAGAAAAATGTCACCAGAAAATAACAATTATGTCCCAGAACAAACCAAAAGAAAATGGCGACATTCCTATATCATGGAATTTAAGTAGAAGATAAGAAATTCGTGTGTGAGTTCATAACTTTATACTTAAAATAGCTTCGTGTGTCTCTATATGTGTGTGTGTGTGGGCGCCTCTAGTGCAAAGCGTCTAAAAATCACTTTTCGCATGAAAGTGCCAAAATATATATTCTTGAACTAAGAGACTTTTTGCACAAAAATTTCGTCATCCTTGGGGGAAAAGAAGTTGATAAGGCAAAAGAAAAGAAAAGGAAAGGAAAAAGTGTTC